GGTGAATAAGACACTAATTGCACAGTCTGAGTCAGAAGGTGGTGGTTAAGGGTTCACACTGTAGGTGAAGTCCTACAGGGATCTATACAATGCTCTCTCTCTTTCAGTGACTGGAGCAGGCAATGTGGTGCACTCTCATCATGTTTGCAGGTGACAGCACACTGGAGGGATGACCGGGTGGTATGCTTGAGGGAAGGGCTGGTAGTCAGGGATTCTTAGAAAGCAGGAGGAATGGTCTGTCGAGAATCCGAAGATACTCAGCAGGGACAAATGCCAAGTCTCACACTTGGGAAGGAACAGCCCCTGGCAGAGATACAAGCTGGAGACAGGGGGGCTTGGGGGAGCGGCTCTGCAGAAAAGGCCCTGGGGGTGCTGGCAGACAGCAGCTCCCTGGCGACAGAGTTGTCCTACAGCATCCTGGACGGTATCACCAGGCACATAGCCAGTAGATCGAGGCAAGTAATTATACCCCTTGATTATTCAGCACTCATTCCGTCACACCTAGGTACTGCATCCAGTTTCAAGCCCCTAATACAGAAAAGTTGCTGATAAACTGGAGCAAGTTCAACAAGAGGCTACTGTGATGGGCAGTTGCCCTGCTAGGAGAGGTTGTGGGCGTTGAACCTATTGAGCTTGGGGAAGAGGTGGACTCCCAGTGACTATAGGGAGGGAGGCTATAGAGAAGATAAGAGTTGAACGCTTTGCAATAACTGAATTGAAGCAGGAGTGATTCGGATTAGATGTAAGGAAAAGCTTTTTCACCATGATTGGGTTGTGGAAGAGGTTATGTGGTCTCTGTCCTTGGAGGTTTTTGAGACCTAACTGAACAAAATGCTCAGTAAGCTGGGCTGACCTCACAGCTGAGCCTACTTTGAGGAGGAGCTTGTACTAGAGACCTCCTGAGCCTGAATTACTCTGTGTTTCCATGGTTCTGTGATCCAGCCAACCCCTAGCTGAAAATAACGCTGTTGGTAGTTTGATGGCAATAGAGGAAGACTTTCTTCCTCCTTTTAATACTGAAGACTTACTCCTCCTCCCTGAAGATAGCCTTCAGTGTTTAAACTAATCCTACTTACTTTCTGTTGCAGCAGACAAGGGGAGCACACGGTGGGTTATTTTGACTTAGTTAAGAAAGAGGAGCATGTTACAAGAATGTAACTCTTTTGCTAGCTGATGGTTAACTATACAGTGCTTTGAGTCCATTTAAACTTTTAAACTCTTCCAGAATTTTTCTTTAGTTGTTTTTAAACCATTTTATGTTAAGTGGGTGTATTGTGTTTTTAGAGACTTGGCCTCAGTTTATTTTGTTTTTAGTTGTAAAAACAAGCAGTTCTTTCTAGTGGCAAGCTTGAGTCATCACATTGTTTAACTATAAACAAAGGCACTGTATACAAAGTTTAGGTGGCATGGACAGTTGTTTCTTCTTCTCACACTCTAGCAACACCTTTTTATAACAGTGAATCCCACAGATTAAATGAAAGAGGAAAAAAGAAAAGAACCAGTTCATCACATTTTTAAAAGTGCTAATGCATATGTAAAATGAGTAAGAATTACAGTTTCTTCCCGGTATCCATCGCTTGATTAGGTCCTATTTGCATCAGAGCGAAAAAGAGAAAGAGTAAGTCTACAGTACTGCCAGTGAAACTATCACTAGAACCCTCTGTTTTTTAGGATCAAAGTAAGTATTTACAATTTCTGATTAGAAAGTCCATGTATAATAAATAGACTTAAAGCTTTAAAAGCTCACTGGAGATGCCTGCTTTTGCTCTCCAGGATTTTTTCTTTAAATAATGAAATATTTCTTGTAAACCAGGAAAAGTGCTGTAAAATAGCATTATCTTAACCTTCACCCAAGACCTAAAGGAGATTGTGTCATTTTCAAAAACTGATTGTATTCATCTCCATAGTCATACCTAAGAGTTTCACCATATTTTTAAGCTGAACAATTTCAAATTGAATTTTGTTTTTTCTCTGATCTTGGAATGATGAGGCCTGTGTATGTCACCACCATATTGCTCCATTAAAATATTTGCTCACTCTGAGCCATTGCTTTTTTCCTCTTCCCAAGTGCTGAAAATGTGCTTAGCTTAGTACTACTTCATGATTTCCTGTAGGTGCCTCCCATTTCACTCCTTTTGACAGGAATGAATATTCCCTCCTTTTGACTCCTTGAATAGCAAATTAAATTTCACAGGTGCTGTAAATCTTAGTCAGAATGGTGAAGAAATCTTTAAGAGCACTGGAAGTTCACCACTTTTCATAGGAGTTAGCCCTGATCCGTGCAAAAGCCTGGTTCGAAAGCAGCTCTGCAAAGGTTTGTTCAGGTGCACAATTCTTCATATTGCCTTCAAGCAAATTGGGTTTGTATTTGCCATCAAGCAAGTTTAGTTTTTTCACTTCTTCATGCTCTCCAGTGTTTCCTTCCCTGGTACAGGTTTGTATTAGTGCTGGGGCAAACTATTACTTGTAAAATTATCATGGTGATAAATTATATTGTGTAAAGAGTGGAACTGTTCTGTGTCTGGCTATGGTTGGTTCTACTTGCTGAGCTTGTCAGATCATCACAGTAAAACATACATGTTTTACTTCTAAAAATACAACAGAAAAAGTTACGTTGTTTCATATTTAGGTTTGGAATGTTTTAAGACGTATAAGAGACATTTAATTTCAGCTTCAGGCTCTTGGATCAACGCTTTTCTGGCTTATGTAAGATCAGTACAACAAATATGTGATTAAAGTTTTGGGGCTCTTTAAAATTATTTTTTTAATTTAAATTCTTAATCTGAGGGAGCTATTAAGATACTTGGAACATAGATGTCTAAAGCTATTTTAAACTCTCTGGAATACCTCTCTGGCTACCTGGAGCCACTTTAAAATGGCACATATTATCCTGAGTTTTGTGTGATACCTACAGCCAGATGTTTTGGATATGTTAATTTAAAATGGCCCCATACACCTGTGTTTGGATGCCTAAATTGCTTTCTAACAGACTGCTTTTTGTCAGCTGTTCTCAGATGGTTATAACACAAGATCACCTTGCTTTGATATTTTTCAGGAAGGAGAGAGGAAATAAATAGCCAACTGAAAACTTTGGACCTGTACAATGCTACGAGCAGTACATTTACTTAATAATAATTTTAAAAAAAGCAACCTCAAACCAATAAAGCAACCACTGGCAGAGCTTGGTATTTTAAGAAGAAATATTAGTGTTTGAACTTTGAAATACCAAATGTAGCTTGTAACGGTCACTAACTGTAATAAACAGTCATAGCTATTAATTACTTAAAACATAAACCTGTTAACATTAATGTCTATTTTTTCTTTAATTACTTGCTTAATTAAATAATGCTTTGACTTTGCACACATGTTTTTAAGCTTTATTTATTGTTAGCATTATAGATGCCAGAATAATTCTGAACTGAGTTGTGGTCTGACTTGAACCTGTACATGTGTAAGGTGAGGCTGTGGGGTGTCACATGAGACTGGGTGGAGGTGTCTTGTTTTCATGTTTTTTTTTCTTATTCTGTCTCCCCACAAAACAAGGAAGGTAGCTGTGGAGTCTACAGGAAGATAGACTTAAAGTGGATGGAATTGGGTTTGAAAAAGTTGGTTCTGTCAGTGTGTGTTGTTTTATCACTCTTGTGGAAAGAACTATTAGAAATCGAATGAGCTACACACACACGATAAAAAAAATAAAGTGTTGAATTTGGAGAGAACCGTGGTTGCCATGAAGACACACGCAGGCTTCATTTTGAGATAGTGTCTGTAGGTCATTCATAAAAGTGGTTATTGGTGGAAGAAAAAAAAAGAGCGGATAAGGTGATCTGTTGTAGGTAGTTAAGTGAAATACTATCTAATGCTGAGGTTTCATTGTTTAATTTCTGAGACATATTTTATAAAGCACACTGGGTTTTGTAACTGATGGATGATGTAGCAGGTAAAAAATTGCCAAATCTTAGAGAAGTTATTAAAGTGTCCGTATCTTTGCATTCACAGATACTTTTTGTCCTTATGGGGAACCTAGAGGAAAGTAGAGATTAGAGTTTTGCATGTCGCGAGAATCCACTGGGAAAGCAGTTGTTAGCCATGAAGATCCCAGGGTAGCTGTTTTAGAGAGTGTGTGTCATCTTATGACATGTTAGCAACCACTGTGAACACTGCTTTTTTAACTCTGTATGTGATGCTTTCTAGTATCTGCTTTTATTTCTTCCTTTATGCCCTCAGTTTACAGTCAGTTTAAATCTTTAAAAGGGAATTATTTCTTTGGTTTTATCATATACGAGGTAATACTAGAGAATTTTGGATTAGATAGCTATAAAAGATAGTTTTCAACTGAAAACATCCTTCGAAAAGAACTATATAATTTACAATTTGCTGTTTTAGATTCTATCTTTTAAATAGTTCTGGCTTTCTTAAAATACAAATAATTGTAAATCTTATTTAAATATGAAAATAAACTGTATTTGTTGTTGGTATCTAATAAGGTTAACGTAATGGAAGGCAGTAGGCTTTCTCAGTTTTCTTGAACTGCAATTTGACAGTCTGAGACTGCAATTGTGTCTTAGAAAATGTCTGTTCATAGAAAGTATGCTTTTCCCTAGGACTGTTGTCAAAGTTTTAGTAATACCAATATCAGCAACAGAAAATATAAACCAGAACTGGTCAGCAAGCAAGAGACACCCTCAGAGGAAAAAAAAGAGATGAAAGAAGATGAAAACAGAATGAGTAATGTTGTCAGAATTGTTACAGCTGTGTGAAAGACATCAATGTGTAGTACAAGTAGGAGAGGAGCATAATTTTTTGAAGAGTTTAAGTAGAAGGTATAGAATTCAAAATACTTAACATTCTGTCAAGTTACATAAACTGTAGTCTTGTTAAACTCATCTTTTCTTTGAAATACTAAGTGAGGTTGCTAAGGGGTGGAGGGGATGTCAAGTGAAATGGCTGCAATGGTGTTATGCAACAGAGTTAATTTCGACCTACGCTCTACTTCTCTGCAGAAGAAGTTGAAGAAGAGTCTGAAACTACAATTGAGGTTGACTTGACTGATAAACAGAAACATCAGTTGAAGCACAGGGAGCTCTTCCTTTCTCGACAGTACGAGTCCCTTCCGGCAACGCACATCAGGTAAGAAAAAGTAAATATCATTTATCTGTGTATTCTGTCGAGGTGGATTGCCTGCCAGTAGCCCACCTGCTCGAACACTTCAGCCTTTGTCTTGCAAAAGGACATGATTGATCACAGCTGTGTTGTGCAAGGTTGTCCCATGAACTGCTTTGGGAACTGCCTTTGATTTTTCCTTCTGTTACTTTGTGTCTGAGCCTTGGAAAAGGTGAGAGTCTCAGAGCTGTGGCTTGCCAATTAGAACATCAGTTGATAATGCGATATAAAGTCAGTCTGTTCCTACTTTGGAAGAGTTTTTATTAATTATTCTTCTGCTGGCCAGAGGAACTTTGACCGTTTTGTCTACCCAGGGAAACCACAGTGGGTTTGGAAAGGAGACAGTGACTCAGTGGTCAGGTCTGCAATTTAGAGCTGCATGCATTTAAAAATAAAATTACCCCAACTTACCTCAATAAATGTGAAGAAGTCATGGTTGAGTTTGGCTAAATATTGCAAAAACATTTCAAATATTGTTTTAAATTGCCCTAATGCTTATGTAGGAAGAGGCTTGCTAAAGCTCGAGAAAGGTTTGTTGGATGTAAGTGCTCATGTCATCTCCTGTTTAGCAGTCAAGCTAATTATTTTTGGATTGAGGGGGGCAATGATGTACCTAGAAATGGAAAAGAAAGAGCACAGTGATGAAAGGGAGTTAGTAAGTGTAAAACAAGGGCTCTTACATTGCGTTCTGAAGGAATTTTTATTTTCTTACTGTGTCCAGCTCCCCTCAGCCATTTCAGACCAGAAATTACTAGAAGCTATCCCAAAAAAAGTGTATGTGTTCCAGTAGGAGAAACACTTTGTATGTACATGTGTATTTTCTCTCTCATTGGCAAATGCGTGGTCTATCTTTCTCACTGCCGGCACAAAAACTGGAAGTTGGAAATTTTTGTATTAATTTCCTGTGCTTGATTCAGTTTCTTGTTCTCTGACTTTGAGAAAGTCATTTAACTGTCAAATCTCTGCTTTTCCAACTATAGCAGAGATAATAATCCTGTGCGGTTTCTTTTACTTGATTTACTTGACATTTAAATATTGAAAATAAGGTGTTCTCTACCTAGAGAGAAGATTACATAGAAGTAGTACTGAAAATGTTTTCTCACCTCACAACTCAGGGAGCAAATACAATAGAGGTTCTCCAGTACACACTTCACAAAGAAGCCAGAAAAACACATGAGTTCATAGTACATGCAGCACTGCACAGCAGGCAAATGCAGAGTGAGGACTTGCATCTACTTTTCAGAACAGATGAGTGCGGTAGGACTGTCATGTGCTACTGAGACCTTTACCAGACGAATTCTGGAACAAACTCTATGTAGTTTAACGACATTTTAACAATCTTAACTCCAAAAAAGAAACAAGGAAGAAAATACACTGCAAAATATTCCTTATTTAGGTTTTTAACTTACTAATGTTCAGGTACCATGATTCTCAGTAATTTCCGTAACTTTTATTTATTAGCTTGTCCTGTAGAAGAGGATAGAAATGTTGTGAAAGCGGTACTTTTCTGACTTTTTCCTAACAGTACTCCAGAATATCCAAGGAGGGAGATTCCACAACCTCTCTGGGTGTCTGTTTCAGTGTTTGACCACTGTCATGGTGATAATTTTTTTTTTTCCTGTCATCTAATTGGGCTTTCTCTTCTTGAAACTTATTGTCTACTGCCTCTTGTCTTCTATCACTGTGCTTCTCTGAAAGAAGCCTGGCTTTGTCTTATTTATATATCTTTTCATTAAGTAATTGAAGACAGCAGTAGGATTTCTCCCTTTAGTTGTCATACCTTAAGAGTGAACAAATCTGGTTTAGTATAATCTGCAGACTTGCTGAAAATGCATTTGGTTAACGTTGTTCAGATTGTTAATGAAGACATATTCAGCTGTTGGCTGCAGTGTCAGCACTTTGACGATGCCCGTAGTAACCAGCTGTCAGCTGGACTTTCTACCACTCACTACAACATTTTCAGCCTGGTGGTCCAGCTAGTTTTTTTCCATCCTTACTGTCTACTTACCTAGTCCATATGCTACCAATCTGGTTAAAGGACACTACGGGACACGCTGCAGGCCTTGTGTAAGTCAGGGTAGATGACATTCGCTGCTGTCACTGGTCCACCAAGCCACTCATCTCCATATAGAAAGTTAGCAGATACTCATGCAGTAAAAGTCTGAGTAGCTTCATTCTGGGGGCCTTTGCTCTTACTACCTGCATTTTTAGCCCCTAGATAGGAACAATTGGATTTACAGGAAAAAATATATGGTACAGTGGAATAGAGTAGAGAATGGACATAAGTTCTCTCAAGAGTAAGAATACAAAAGCTCAGTCCCTTTGGAAGGAAGAGGAGAAAGCTAGAAGGTAGTTTTATGAGAATGGAGGAGGCTGAACCATCTATAGTTGCTTTTGGCAGCTACAGATCTTGAACTTTTACTGACATCTTCAGCCAAGAAAAGAAACTGAGTTTGGTTACCTTTCTGCTTATAATTTAAGGTAATACCTGGTGTGGTATGTGTTTATTTCATTTTTACTAATATGCTTTTACTCCTTTTGTTTCGTCTTTCATTTTTTCTTGAATTTACTTTTTACATTTTTTAAACTGAATGGCAGAGAAAATTACAGTTCCCCCCCAAAAAACCCCTATGACTGAGATTACTGTATTTGTAATTGTGAATTAGAATAAAAGCAATGTCTCATTTATACACCTACTGCCACTACTTTAGTTGAGATGTCTTGCAGTTATTTTAGCATGTTAGTTTTCTTTGATGTGCAAGTCTAATCTGAAGCTCTTTGGTCTGTAGTGTTGAGTTTTGAATAATTCTGGTGTAATTTGTTTGCTTATGAATTACTGAAATACAATTTAATTCTTTCATAGATTTCTAGGTTGGAAAAGACCTTAGAGATCATTCAGTCCAACCGTCCCTAATCCCCATTAAACCATATCCCTAAGCAGTTCATCCACCCTATTCTTAAACACATCCAGGGATGGGGACTCACCCCCCCCCCTGGCCAGCCTATTCCAGTGGCTGACAACCCTTTCAGAGAAGAAATTCTTTCTAACATCCAACCTGAACCTCCCCTGACTAAGCTTATAGCCATTTCCTCTTGTCCTATCATCCATCACTAATGTAAAGAGCCCTTCCCCTACCTCCCACATCCCTTCTCAAGTATTTGTAGGCTGTAATCAGGTCTCCCCTCAGCCTCCTCTTCTCCAGGCTAAACAGCCCCAACTCCCTTAGCGGCTCCCCATAAGTTTTATTTTCCAGCCCCTTGACCAGTTTAGTCGCCCTTCTCTGGACTCGCTCCAGGAGCTCAATATCTCTCTTGAAGCGAGGGGCCCAAAACTGGACACAATATTCCAGGTATGGCCTCACCAGTGCCGAGTACAGGGGGACGATCACGTCCCTCGTCCTGCTGGCCACACCATTTCTGATACAAGCCAGGATACTGTTGGCCTTCTTGGCCATGGGAATTCCTATGTTCCTACATACATACAACATGTGGTGTTATAGTGACATAAGCCTTTTCAGCCACTCTTCCCCGAGCCTATAGCGATGCTTGGGGTTTTTACACCCCAAGTGAAGGACTCTGCACTTGGCCTTATTAAAGCTCATGCCATTGGCCTCAGCCCAACGATCCAGTCTGTTCAAATCCCTCTGAAGGGCCTCCCTACCCTCGAGCAGATCAACACAGCCTCCCAGCTTGGTGTCGTCCGCAAATTTACTGAGGGTACATTCAATCCCCTCATCCAGGTCATTGAATTATCATACTTTTTATTTTGCTATATATGTTATGTGTAACTCTCTTGAGATACAATTTGTTTTGTTATAAATATTGGGATTTTTTTAGACTTCATCTTGTTTCCCCTTTACATTAGGTGTCACTGTGCCAGTTTAGTAGCTTTAGGAAGTGGTTTAAGTTTGGGCACCAAAAAAAAAAGCCAGATTTAGAAGAGAATTAGAAGTGGGTAGTGTGGTAGTAATTAAACATGGCAACGCTGCCTTGCGGACACAGTGTTCCTGCAGTGGAATGTATTTAGGAAGGTATAATTGCCTGGCTCAGTACAGCACCATTCTGGAGCAGTGGCATGCGGTACAGTACAAGCCGATGTACTAGCCTGGGTCTCAAAGACGAGGTGTGTTACCTTAGTGCCTTCTTGTCGAGTTACAAGTGGAACTGTGCCCTCCTCTGTCTGCTCACATGTGTAAGGTTAGTAGCACCCCTCCAGTGAATTATCTCCTTCCTTCCTAATCCCTACGTTACACCTGCAGTTTTGCCAGGCACCGTAATCCCCAGATGTCCTTGTAACAGAGTTATACTGCCAGCCAGACTCGCCGAACACTCTCCTCTCACGCAGTGAAGGCACCCAGAATTCATGCAGATTGCCTCTGTAAGCAATGCCAGTCTTGGAGAGGGGCTGAGCTACCGTGTACTTTAGCTTGGGTTTTCAGGGATTTGAGCATTACTAAATACAGCAATTTTGGAAAGGTATGAGAAGGCACGGGGCAGGGAGGGGGGGGGAAAGTTAAAAGTTGGCATAGAGGTGAAATAGTTTGCCAGTGTTGTCAAATTCACCATAAAGCTTAGTACATGGTCTAATAGGTCCCTTGTATAAAAATCTGCAAGTGGTTCTCTTGTTGGAGAGATACACTAAGTTATCTGACTTGGTCTTTAAATTTATTTTTCATTCTTAAAGTTCTCTAGAGTTAATAGGTGATAAACACATTTAGATTGCTGTAAAAGATTGCATTAACTTCTAAGATCATTTGTAATTGTTTTTAAATTTAATACTTCATGTGAGTTGTGCAGAAGAATTTATTGATCCATCAGAGTTTATCTTGCCATTTCATTATCTTTGCTTAGTTTCAGGCTTGGAGTTATGGGTTTTTGTGGTGGCGGTGGTTGTTGTTTGGAAAGCATGCACGAGCCAAGCATTCTTAGATGTTGTAATAAAAACAGGCGTGAATCTTTTGGACTGT